GGACTGGAGTTGCCAGGGTGTCAGCTTGCTCGCTGATACGTACTTTGGTGGTTGATAGCCAACTGATTGGCCTCTGTCAGGTTTAAAGATCGCTTTTTAAAACTTCCTGAGCTGTTTTTCAGCTGGCGGCAGATTAATGGCGTCTGTGCTGTAGGAAATAACTAGCAATGGAACTTTGTGTCTTGCTTTGAGAAACCATCGCTTTTGCTTTGTGTTACTTTTGTCATTGCTCGCTTTTCTTTTTACCTCCCCCCCTTCCTAAAATAACTTAGGAAGACTGCACCTTCATGCCTGAGACTGGACTGTGGAGTACCTTGAAAAATTTAAGACTTGGTGTTCTAATTGCAAATGTAATTTTCTGGAATTTAGATAATTGGTGTGGGCTGAGACTTCTTGTCATGATCAATTTGTGTTGAATTGGCTATTGGTGTCGTGTGGTACAAAATAAAAAGCCCTGTTGCTCAAATAATTAATGATCTGTGGTACACAGGGTTCTGATTCATGGCTTGTCATGAAGTCAGAAGTACGTGGGTGTGGGAGAGTCATTTGTGGGACTTGAAACTAGAGTTGGATAGTTAAATAATGACACTATTGGTGGTTTTTGACCTCTCTTCCTGAATGCTTTTTCTACAGCTGCAGGGAAATCGACATTTGTGAATATTCTCAAGCAAGCTGATGAGGAATGGGAAGTTGTTCCTGAGCCTGTAGCTAGGTGGTGCAATGTTCAGCAAAGCTCTGAGGAGGATTGCGAGGTATGGTAAAAGAAACTAAGGTGACGCTTTCAAAATAAAATAAAAAACCAAAACCAGCCAAATGTTTTCCTGATTTGAGAAGACCAATATATCTGGTAGGCTAGGTATTTTAGAAAATATATGCGATAGCAACGTTTTTGCTGGTTCTTATAATAGTTGAGTTCCTGTTTTCCAGTCTGCTCGGTGTGTTACAGAATAAACGTTATTCAGCATCAGGATGTAAATTATAAAAACGGTAAGAGCCAGTTCTATTTTATGTATAAAAGCAAGGGATGGAAAAAAGTTAGGTGGAAGTTACTTTTAGCAACTGTGAGCTAGCCAGGTGAGAGCACTGTTCAGCAACGGCCAAAACACTGGTGTGTTACTAACGTGGGTTTGGCCACAAACACAAAGTATGTCACCGTATGGGCTGTCACGAAGAAAGTTAACGCCATCCCACTCAGGTCCGGTAAGCTTAGCATAAAATTTCCAATCTGTCATAATCATCCCTGAAGTTGGACTTACTAATTCGCTCTTTCCTCCTTTTGCTTTGGCTGGTGTGCAGAAATGCGATGTTATATGTGACTCCTAAAATTAGTCAGAAAACGCTTAAAGAAAGGTTCCTGAAGACAAGACTGTACTTGGGGTATGAAGTTGTTTGTGCATGTGTCTCTCAGATGTATCTCTTACAGTCTTGTGTGCGTTGTCAGTAGCTTGTGATGTTCTCCTTGCTGTTGCCTAATTCACGCGGGAACAGCAGCAGTTGCTGCAAAACAGCACAGTTATTGTGCGCCAGTTCTGCTTCTAGTAAGAATATTGTACAGCTTGAGCAATAGCCCTTGACCTATTTTTTCCCTTCTTCCTTCCCTTTTCTGAGAAAAGTTATCAGCATTCAAGATCTTTATAATTGCTTTTTTTTTTTAATGTAGTTTAATACCAAAAAGTAAACTCTGACTTTTCCATCTTTAATAAAGCTGGTACTTTGATTGTACCACAGTACCGGGGGGGGGGGAGGGGGGGGCA